GCAGGGAAAAGCCAGCGTGCTGCTTTTTTGTGCAATTCCCAGAGTTCATCATCTGAGATTGCTTGCAACTATTGCAATTATTATTAATAATTGTAAAAGACAAAAAATTACAGCTGGTGCATCAGACATTTAATGGGGTGAACTACAAACATTAAATGAAGCAGTGAAATTTTTTCCTCGTGCACAATCTCCCCCATTTGTTGCTAAATTAAGTGAGCAACCCTACTGGCAATGAATTAAGAGGCTAATTAGGAAGGTACCTCAGGCATGAGCTGTGTTACGCTCAATGCAAATGCTTTTTCTTCCATTTTAACTTCTCACCTTTCTGCATCCTGCATTCTGAGCTCACGTGCACCCTCTCAGAATTCTTCTCCCATTCCATGTTCCTGTGTGTTTGTGTGTATATGATAAGAAATGTCAGCCCCAGGAGGGGACTTGAAGAATGTTTCCTTAGAGTGGCTATTATTGCTGTAAGGGAAAACCTTAATTCCATATTCAGAATCAAACAGGAGAAAAACACAAGGAAAATTCTTTCCAATGCAAAGCCCTCTTTCACGTAAATAAAACCCTGAACATCTTCCATGTGCTCGCACAAGGCTTGCTCAGTTCACTTGTGTTAGAGATCATTACTGCTCCCATTAAACGATTGGAGGACAAATGGTTCTTTTCATGGCTCCTGACAAAGCATCTTGGTGTGTTCATTCACAAAGAATATTCTCCAGAGCTCAGCTCAAACTATTTATCTGCAGTTTTTTCTGCCCACGCTCACAGTCCTGCCCCGTTCCTACCTCTTCCTTGTGACCCGAGCTCCGATGTGACAAGGACAGAACAGAGCAGAAGTTACTGTGCCATTAACTGTCACTGTGCAGAGGCTGGAGGCTCCCCTGGGAACTGGTGTTCTAGAAAGCATGGGCTTACAGCCTGGATGGTGAATGTTACTGATACAACCTCATACTTCTCTGCTCTTTGCACAGAGACCGGGACAGATGAAATTCTGGGCTAGATCAGGGTTAAAATGAGCCATTATGAACAGTGCCTGCCTTCTGCTCCTTACAATTCTTTTCCTTCTTGCCATCCTTCTTTTCTCTCACAGCAGAGGACTGGAGGTTCCTGGGGCACCTCGGTCCTGTGCAGGCAGCTCCTTTCGCTCTTCTCACCCAGACAGCCAGTCAGGCGCCCAGCATTGCTCCCAGATACAGAAAGCAGCAGTGACTTCCCAATAGAAATATTGCAGTTCAGAAAGGTGTGCTCAGAAAGCAAACTGGCATTGGCAGAGCAATGGCCACAGCCAGTCTGATTATTCAGGTGAAATACAAGCTGTGTTTTCTGGATGACAACTTTACCACCTGCTGGTAGATCTTCATCACTTTGCTCTTTTCCTTGGGTTAAAGCACAGCCTTCAGCACATTCATTCTGATGAAAAAACAATTTAGGAACAGCTCTCACACAAGCAAAACATCCCTAAAGCCCAGTTACCTCCTCAATACGCTCCATTCTGCCTTCATCTTTTTCTACTGAGAAAATCATAGCAATTCTCCCTCAAATTCTTTCCGTGTCTCCCCCTCATGTTAGAACCTTTGCTACAAAGAGCAAAAAGGGGCCGCTACAGCTGTGCACCCGCATCCCAAAAGGTATTTCTTGTGCTATCCTGGTTACAACAGGAACAGTAGACAGAAAATGAGTGCCATGTTATACGGCCTGCAAGTTCTAGACTCTGGCCTTGTGTTTGCAACTGTGAGATCTTCCCAGAGCTTTCTCCAAGCTGAACAAACCCAGCTCCCTCAGCTTTCCTTCACAGCCCTCTGAATAAAAAATGACACAGCTGATGAGTCAGGATTGCTGCGTGCAAAACGTTTACCTGTACGAAAGTGTCACACGCTCTGTGATTTGAAAAAACAGGTTTTTTTCCATGGCACAAATCCTTGAGGCCCCAAAGAACTCAAGGGAAGGTGGGTGCTGCCAGTGGAAGGCACTGGCCCTCAGTGGTGTGTTGGGTGGGGCTGGAGAAGGGGCTCAAGTCAGCCACTTTTGGTCTGCTTTCCTGGTGTTCCCTCAGCCCTCGTCACCCCCACAGCCACAGGGAAGGCCTCATATCATGGCCACATCTCCTCCAGCCTATGCAGTGCCCCCCAGAGCAAAGCCTTCAGCCCTCTGCCAGCCCGCCCAGCCGCTGCTTTGTGTGCTCAGCCTGAGCCATGCTGAAGTCCAACTTCTTACAACGTTTATGTGTGGTAGCATCTATTTGAAGCCGTTTTTCTACCATGCCTGACCTTCTACCCAAATTGATTTCCCTAGAGGGTATCTGAGCAGCGGATTGTGTTTCTTATCCGCACATTTCACTGTGCAGCTCCTCTCAGGAGTGCTGAGCTGAATTTTGGGACAAGCAGCCGTTTCCTCACACACGGAACATCCCCGGGACCCCTCTGTGGGGAAATCCTGTCAGGACTACAAGCCTTAGGCAGCTACGGGCCAAACCCGCGCTATTTCTCCCGGTCAGCTTACGTAGCCCAGCCAGTGGACTTCGAGGCACGCCTCGAAGCGGGGGATGGGAACGAGCCCCTCGGCGCTCCGCCGCAATCCCACAATGCTCCGAGGCACGGCCCGCGGGCGCAGCGCAGCGCTGCGCGCTCTCCTTCCCCCATTCAAATGAGCCACGGCGGGCGGCGCCGCGGGGCACATCGGGATTTGTAGTCCCGCACTCCCAGCTCAACGCGGGGCGCCGCCTCCAGCCGAACTCGTTTTCCCGGCGCGCATCGGGGCGGGGCCGGGCCGTGTGGGGCGGAGTGGGGAACGCGGGCGAGAAAGGCTGAGGGGGTTCGCGCCGCGCACGGGGCTGCCGCCATAGTGGGAGCTGCGGGGTGAGTGTGGGGGGCGGGGCGGCTCGGCGGGGCCCGGCTGTCGGCACACGGCACCGCTCGGCGGCTCCGCGCTGCGGGGCGTTGCCGGTAGGCGCCTGACCAGGCCCGGCCCTGACCTTCCCCGTCTTTGAGGCGGGGGGCGGCGGCTGGGGGTTGGGGGAGAGGAGCGGCGGGCCGGGCGAGGCCCCGCAGGCGGAGGGGCGGTGCCGCCGTTTGGGTGTCGGGAGGAGGTTTGTGAGGGAGATGCGGGGCCGCGGTGACCGCCGGGCTGTGCTGAAATGAGATAACCGGGGGATCCGAGTTGAACGGATTCGGGTTGAAGTTCCTGCCCAAGGCTTTAGGGCTGTGGAACAAAGGATAGGTGGGTGCTGGCTGTAGGGCTTCGGGCTTCGGGCTGCTCGCCTTCCCCACAGCACACGCCGGCCCCAGTCTCCTTTTGGGAGCGGCTTCAGGCTGTAGCAGCGATGGGGAGAGAAGAGGCGCTGGCAAGTCAGAAGTACAGAAGTTATGGTGTCAGCGATGAAACGCATCACCTCATTTAAGATTTAGGTTAGGTGTGAGGAGGTAATCCTTCCCTCGGAGGGCCGGTGCAGCTGCCCAGAGCTGTGGGTGCCCCATCGTGGAGGTGCACCGGGACGTGGATGGGCTCTGGGCAGCCCTCTCCACAGCAGGAGATTAAAACTAGGTAATCTTTAAGGTCCTTTGCAACCTAAGCCCTTCTGTGGAAATACAGTGATGTTGTGGCCCGCTTTGGGGCTGCTCGGCTCTTTTCCACCCTAGTTTCTGTTTGTTTCATGTGCCTCCCTAAAAGACTGCAGATTGTTCAGTAGGTAGCTTGAAATGTATTTGCTTTACCATCCTTTTTTCCTTCTGTTCTGAAAATTCCAGCAGCTTTCAGCAATTTTCTCTGGTGGGGTGTCTGTTGTCCCTGCTGTTGATAGTAAGATTGTGTCATTAGTAGTGGTTGTGGTACATTCTGTGTAAGTATTGCAGCCTACACAAACAGCTCATAACTAAGAGGCGATTTTTTTGGTTGCTTTTAAACTCCCAAATGTTGGGGTGTCACAGGTGGCTTTGATATCTGTATTTGTGCACAAGTGCACCTTTGCATACACTGTTCTCTGGAAGTAGAAACTGTGAGGAGGCCTCATTGCAGCCTTTCAGTTTTTAAAAGGGGGATTATAGAAAGGGGAATCAACTTTTTTCTTGGGTGGATAGTGACAGAATAAGGGGCCATGGTTTGAGCCTTAAGGAGGGAAGGTTTAGAGTGGATATCAGGGGGAACTCTTCACAGAGAGAGTGGTGAGGTGCTGGAACAGCTGCCCAGAGAGGCTGTGGATGCCCCATCCATCCCTGCAGGTGTTCAAGACCAGATTGGATGGAGCCCTGGGCAGCCTGAGCTGGTATGAAATGTGGAGGTTGGTGGTCCTGCCTGTGGTGGGGGGGTTGGAGCTTCATCATCCTTGAGGTTCCTTCCAGCCCTGGCCATTCTATGGTTCTATGATACCGTGTGCTTGCAGGAAGCAAATGAGAAGAGAAAATGCATGGTTGTGGAAGTGTGAGGTAGGTAGGTGCCATGGGAAAAGTTCTGTGAGTGTGGGTGTTGTGTTTTTCTCCTTCTTTTTCCCAGGCATATGTTGCAAATCTGGAGCTTAACAAAGATCTGTGACCGTTGGTGCAGAGATGAGGTTTAACGAGTCGTGCTTACGTGCCTGCAAAGCTTGTTGATCATAAAGCGTGCTGCAGAAAATCTTCCATGTTTGAATGGTGTCAGTCAGGAATGAGGGAATGCTGTGACTAAACGTACAGCGGGGTAATATAATGCAGCTTTTATCTCAGTCCTCTTGCATGTAGCACCTCAGTAAGTCCACAGAACTGTTTTTAGGGGCGCTTTGTGCTGCCTCCTTCAGGGCTGTTATTTGCACGGCCACTTGGACAAACATACAGCTGGAATTGTTCCTGGATGGGCCAAGCTGAATTGTGAACAAAGGGATCAGATGGCAGTAATTGGTAGATGATCTTGTGGGGATAAAACTGAATATTACTTTGGGTCTTTCAGTCCACGAATAAACCTGATTAAATTTTGAGTAATTGTAATGCGATATTTTTCTTCTGTAGCTTGAAAAATAGCTTTTGGTTTTCTCTTAGCCTGGAACAGCTGTCGCAGTAGTCACAGGGATGGACAGATGGAAACATCTGACAGTTTGCTATTTCTTGGACGTGGAACGTTGTGTTGCTCTGCCTAGAAGGTGAGGAAAGACATGGAGCAGCTGTGTTGTTCTGCTTTGTGCCCCCTGCTTTTCTGAAGGTGGCCATTCTGGAGTTTCTCCTGGGGAACACAGCAAGGATTCAACCTTGTGCATTTCTGTTCTGTTTTTGGGTTTCACTGAGGGGGCCATGAAATAAACAGCCACGCGTGTAGCGTTGTTGCTTAACAGCAAAACATTGTCTTACCCAGCTACGTATAAAATAACATATGCCCATCTATTTGATGATCATCTAGGGTGACTCGTGGGTTGTCAGATTGCAGACAGGATGAGCACCAAACTGAGCACAGGGAGAGCTTTTGCAGAGAACTACCTCCCCCATCCATTTATTTACTAGTGCCCCTCTACTTGCTAACGTCTGTAACCACCAAAATACACTTCAGGTTGGCATAATTCCTGCATTAATTTGTTTTAATGAAGTTGGAGGAGAGGGGGAAAAAAAACCAAAACTGTGAAAAGTCAATTATTTTCTGTATATTTCAGGAGGAAAATGTCTGCTCCTTGTCACGCCTTTCTCACTTTCCATTTTCCAGCTGTGCACATACCCAGACTTAATTATTTCCAGGTCTGAAGGCATGTTTAGAATAATTTCTAGCATTCTTACCCTCACATTAAGGTGCATTCTATCGCTGCCCTGAGCTTGCTTTCTCTGGAGGAGCATGAGCAGGGCTCAGCCCTGGCCTTCCACCACCTGCAGGATGGCTTTCCACAGAGCTGTGGGGGCTGGGGGAGGTGAGAGGCCTCCAAAACTCGGAAGGGATTCTGCTTAGACCTGGGAGGGGGGCTTTTTCTCTGTGCAGCGCAGCATTGAAACACCTTGCACGTGGGGGTTGTGTTATCTCTATTGTCAGAGGCTCTTGGCATCAAAGGGGGTAAAGGCAAAGTGGGCAGCCTGGTCTGATCTGATGCCCTGACTGACCCTGTGTGGAGATGGAGCTCCTGAAGTTCCTTGCCATCTGAATTATTCAGGGCTGCCACCATCATTTGCTTTGTTTCTTCTCTTGATAGCCTACGCCTTTGCTAAAGGCAGCTGATCTGCTATCGAGTGATTCTTGGTGTAGGCACTGGGCGATCTGCTGAAAGGTAACTAATCCTCTGACTGTGGTTCCATTGTGTTCTTAGAAAGCTCGTGCAGGAGGAGCTCCTGCCTCGGTGTTTTAGTAGCAGCGGGGGAGAGGATGAAAGAGGAATGGTTGAAAAGTTGTTTACTGCTTTACGTTTTTCTTTGTGGCACTTAAAGGTTGCTCGCTACTTCTCATTGGGAGTGAACGAAATGCACGTGTGCTAGAGGTGTGTGCAACAGGAGCTGACACAGCCGGCAGCTCTTTGTTGTCTCTCTTCTGTTAATCAGTAGCAAAGGGTGCAGCAACGGATGGTCTGGATTGTGCTTGTGTGGATCCCCAGGTAGCCCTGAGCCCATAGCACTGGTTTGAGGGGAGCATTGCTGCTCTCGTTACGTGGCTCTTCTGTCTTCCATAGAGCACCCCTCCAGCTCAGTGTTCTTAAGCTTCAGTGATCTTACGAGAGCTTAACTTTGGTGCAGTGGTGTGCAGAGCCAGCTTTAATATTCAGGGGGTGTGGTTTGTTTGTGCTCAGATTTCTCATGGAAGTAGTGTAGTCATACACAGAAACTGCAGATGAGATGGGGATTTTTTTCCCTTCTGTCAGTGTGGTAGGTTATTCTTTTAGGCTTTTCTTTTTTCTTTTCTTCATTTCTGCAGGTCAGAAAGCCTGTACTGAGCTTATTTGCTTGTGTTTGTTGTGTGATTCCTTGTAGCTTCTTGGGTGGAGCATCCCTTGCAAAGGGAGGCCAATATGTAATGCAGATAGCTAAAGAATGCTACATTAGTCACTACTGCTCATACCTTTGTGTTGACATCAAAAAGAGCTGGGTTCTTTTAGAAGTGCTGGCATGCCCTTCTTGAACTCAGACTTAAATTTGTTACCTGATTGCAGTCAGCTTGCATGTGTCCAGGTCTGATAATGCAGTAAGCACAGCTGCTGGCTGAAACAATGCTTTGTGGCCTTTCTCTGTCCTGCAGAGATGTGCTGACAGCCCACCTCCTCCCAAGGTTGCCAGTGCTCACAGGCTTCAGGGAAAGCAAATTGTTTTCATCTGTCAGTGAATGGCAGAATAAAAAAGTGGCTTTTCCTTCACTTATGTATCTGAGTAGCATTACAATGTGCTGACAGAATCACCTCCAGGTTGTTCTCACGGTTTCTCATTTGTCGAAGGACACAATAGGAGGAGATTTCAACCAGACCCTGTGTTCATCCCAACCTCTCATAGCCTGGGTCAGAGCAACGCAGAAGGAGGGGTGAATGTAGGTATGAATACCCAAGCTGTTAAAAGATCCCATGTTTCTGTGTTTTATGGACAGAAAGTCTTTTGCCCGAGGCCATTGTAACCTTAGTGTCATTGCAGGTTGTTCAGGGCCCGTGTGAAGTCCCATCTCTTCCTGCCTCCTCTGTCTCACACCTTCTTTCCTTCCGCCTTGTTGCTGCTGCCATCTGGATAATGCAGCTTCACTCAGTATCAGTGCCTTCTGCTGTGTGCCAAAGCAGTTGGGTCAAGGTTTATTCAGGCAGTCATCTCTGTGGTGGACCTGTATGGCTGGTGGCACGGGACGTCACAGGATGGGGAGGGAGGCTTTGGGTTATTGGGCTGCCTTAGTTGATTGGGCAAGACTGAGCAGCAACAGAAGCATGGGGCAGTGATGCTGCAGTGGGTGGGCCGTGCAGGAGTTTTGTTTGGGTGGCTTTGTTTGCATTGAGGAAAGGCTACCATGGTGAACTGGGAAGTCTTGCAGGGTGTAGATATGAATTCCATCTGTGCTGCAGGACCTTGGCTTTGGGGTCAGGGATGTGGCAGTGCTGAGCTGCAGGAGGGTGAGTACAGGATGAGGGTGATAGGGATTCGGCCACTGCTGTGTTGGTTAAGAGGTGTAGGAAGTGTGGGGGGCACACAGGGGGCAGGAGTTTGCATTAGGGGATGTCAGCATGTGGTGGGGAAGGAAAACCTGGGTGGATGTCACCAAGAGATCCCTGGCAGAGCAGTGGCAGAGTGCTGTGCTGTCACAGTATACCTGGTAGAGGGACAGTTGCTGGCAGCTGTGGGCCGCATTGGGCTTCTGCTTGAACACTGACTGGCTGATGTCTGAGCTGGGGATGAGCTCTATAATATGAGCAGATTCCAAGCAATGTAACAAGTGCTGTGAGCCCAAATGTTAGACTCCACTGAGGCACACTGATAGCTCAGCCTTGCTGCTGAGCTTCTGGAAAGAACCTGTGCTCTAAACTTCACAGCAGGAAACATGAGACACCATGGAGGAAAGGGTGACGCATCAGAAAAGGAAGACAAGTCTTTTGGGGAAGAGTGTATTAAACAGAACCATGTATGAGTGGCACAGGGGAAAAAAAAGAAAGTCAAAATTAACCAGGAGTCATTAATTCCAGCAGGTTTTTTTTGAGTTCAGCTCTCACTTCTCTAACAAAACCAACACTGTTGGATTTATACAGATTTATTTAGCACTATTTTACCTAACAGAAGACAAATACATTTTTAAGGAGGAGGTAGCAAGCTTGCACGCTAATTTTAAAAACCATGATACCACTTTCTAAATTTAAAATTCCAGTCCCTTAATTTCTGACAGTCTTAAAGGCTTTCTTGGTTTCATGCTTGAACAGAAGGTGTCTGGTGCTTGTGTGAGGCTGAGTGCCTCGAGGAGCTGAGGGTGGCTGGGGCTCAAGGAGCTGCAGGGCTGGCGCACAGCTGCAGCTTGGCTTTGTGTGATGGTGCTGTGAGCTCTTAGGGGGGAACACACATGTGGATTAACAGATTTCACTGAGAGCCAACTTTTTTACATGCAGAAGAATAAGCTGGTGGCTGCAATTTACGAGTTAGATACGGTTTAATGAGATTCCCACTTGAACATGTAGGGAGGATGTCTGATCTACGTTCATGGACTGGAGCTGAAGCGATGATGGGCCACAGAAACTGAACGGAGTTGATTTGTTCACTTGGGCTGTTTGCTGCACAGCAACCACCAGCCTGCCATCCCAGACTATCACCTGTAGGTACCCTCAGGACTGGAATGCAAACGACAGGCTTTAAAAAAAAACAAATACTGGTACTTCTGGTTTTCCCAACAAGGCACAGGCGTCCTCAGCAGCAGGAAGTATAGGGAAAAGTGCAGTGAGGACATCAGAAAGCTTCTGCAGAAGCTGAGAGGGATGCTGGCACACTTGTATGTGATCCAGGCTCTCTTTTCTCCAGTAAGAACATGTTTTGGAAGACCTGTGAGCTGTGCTGCCCTTGCAGGGTTCATCTTCCGCTTGTAGGAAGCGTTGAATCCTTGTGCCTGGCCTTGGTACAAAGGTGAGGAAATGGGAGCAGAAGTACAGAGGTGTTCTTGAGGGACGTGTTCTGTGTCACTCAGTTGGGCTGCAGCATGCTCACAGGTTACAATGGGAGGATAAATCCTGAGGAAGACTTCCTGAAGCTGGAGTGGATAGCTGCTTTCCCCAGGACTTTTGAGATGGGACGGAGAGGTTTGAGGTAGACCTCATCTTCAGCAGCACACTGGGAGACTTATGGCCAACGTCTCAAATGCTGGGAGGGCAACACAAGGCCCATCTGCCTCTGATGCTGGTAGCTAAGGAGGTCTCTGCTGGTTTGGGTTGTGTTACTCATCCTTTGGGCATGAATGTGTCTCTTCCACCTGTGAAATAATGACACAACTGCACAGCCAGGGCTCAGCAAGTCCAAACCAATCACATGAGTTTGCTTAGCATGAGCCAGTGTAGAAGGGATGGTGTTAGGGGGCACAGGGTGTTAAGGAGGCTTTTTTTGATTGTGACAGACAAAAACTGTAGCCTGTGCTACGTTAAGAATTCAACAGGGAAGGACAGGATAGTGACACAAAGGCAGTATGCTCGTGCCCATGGCAGTCTTGCCATTCATTCAAGATGCTGAGGTTTCTTCTGGAAGGTGGATGGGGCTCTGCAAGGTCTATCCTGACATAGTGAAAGAGAAGAATCCCATATTGCATTTTTGGTTGGTTATTGCTTGTAGGGAAAACTGAAGGCCTTGCACAGTGAGCTTATGCAGATATGCAGGTTAGTTCCCATGGGATTGTTTGGTGCATTCCTAAAACTCGGCATGCTTGTGCAAATTCAGGACTGAGGCAGCTCCCCAACAGTGTTGTGTGGGAGACCTCTGCTACATGTGGGGAGATTCATTGGCAAATCCTGCTTGTGCTGCTCAGGCACAGTCTGGAATTGTTGTATAGCTGGAGAGCTGCTGGTAAATCTTCTGAAGTGTGGGACAGAAGCTGTTTGAAAGAAAGGAAGTGACTTTAGGGAGGCTTTCTTTCGATACACAATCCTTCAGTCCAAGCTGAGGTTGTCTGCATCACGGTAAGGGGATCCTGAGTTCAGTGCTGACCTCACTGACTGCGTGGTTGCTGATGAATTAAGGATATTTCAGAAATGGGATAGACGAGTTTCATGTACTGTTCCAGGAAGAAAAAAAAAAGAACATTTCAGTGCTTACAGAGCCAGGTATCCATCCTTGGCAGGGCAGGACTTCTAATTAGCTTTCTAACTGCCATGATTGAAAGAAAGAATCAGTCTGAAATCATGCACAAGATGGAGAGATGGCCTTTTCTTAGTGGAACCTGTAGGAGCAGCACATCCTGTGTAGGTCAGATGTGGAGAGCTGGAAATACAGACTGTTTTAGTTGAAAGGGGAAATCTTAATTTTACCACCACGTGCTGAAATGACTCCAGGTTCAATTATGAACACTGAGTGTACCTCAGCCTTAGTGATGGGATACTAGAGAAAAGCAGGTCCTAAAGCTAGGCTGTGCTGCGCAGCTAGCTAGTGGAAGTGAATGAACTCTGATTGTGTACCACTAATAGGATGCTCTTCACAGAGGGACCTGTGTGTGGGTTAGAATGCCCTGTTCAGGGGCTGAATAGGTAAAGAAGTGCTATAAGCCTTGCAGACAATCATTGGTAACACTTGTGTTGTTAACAGTGAATGAGATCGAGTCAGAATAGCAGCAGCTGGCCAACTTTTTCAGATGCTGACATTTTTGAAATCTGTGAATGTGAGGCAGTAACATTTACTCACTTTGGTTCTTATTTTCTGCTTCTGTGAGTTGACCTTCCACTGAAACAGCACTAGAAATCACTGACTGCTCTCATACAGAATAAAACCATTTGGTGCCCAGGGCTTATTTCACAGAAGTCTGGGATGCTGAGGTGGTGTTTGTCCTTTTTCTAAAGAAGAATTTTGTCCAGCTGAGGGATTCTGTGTCCACTGGTGCTTCAGCCACATGTTACTCTTGTTTATGCAATTGCTCTTTCTGATAATTCCTTGTTTTGTTTTACAGTCACCAGCTGTAGGTGAGGATTCAGAATGGGAGACAAGCCTATCTGGGAGCAGATTGGGTCCAGCTTCGTACAACATTACTACCAGCTTTTTGATGCAGACAGGACTCAGTTAGGAGCAATATATGTAAGTAGTAAAGATGCCCTGTCACATCTCATGTGGGATAGTGGGTTTTAACCTGACTTGGAATATCAGTCAGTGCAGCTGCACTTGCTGCACTTACAGTTTTTGCCTCCAGAAGATTCAGAGTGCTCTGTGTGATTACTGGTGGTGAGGAATGCTGCTGAGTGGCTGGGCTGTTTCAGCAAGGCACTCAGGTCTGACGAGTCTTCCAGCAGCATGTCCTGTTTTTCTGACCCTTGCTGAATGAGTCATATCAAGTTTCACCAAGTTCTGGAGGATTTAAGTTGTAGGAGCACTGTCTGATTTTTTGCCCCCCCCCCCCCCCCCCACCTCAGCAGTCTCTACCAACACTGATAGCATTTGCTCTTTGGATTCTTGTGTTTCCTAGCTGTTGCCTTGTTTTGACAAAGGAGCCGTGAACAGAGAAGCCCATAAAGCAGGGAAAAACAAGTAGCCAATGTTTAATCACAGCTCTAAATATGAAGGCACTTGGCAGTTCCTGTCATGCCATTGCTAAAATGCTTCAAATCTTCAGAAAGCTGGTAATAAGTACAGGGTAATTAATTCTGGAAACATGGCCATCCATACAATGAACTCATGTGCTTTTTTTCTGCCCTTGGGGCCTTTTTACCTTTCATCAGCATTCAGTGGAGGTACCTATGCAGGAGCAGGCTGTGTTATGCAGCTCACTGATGTAGTGTTTGGTGGAGTTCCATGAATATGAAGCTTTTTGCCTGTTGCTGTTGCACCTGCTGTAGTGTGCTCTGCATGCTCTCTCTCTCTCGTACATGGGAAGAGCTTTTAGGCTGAAGCATCTCAGTCGTTTTGTGCCGCACAGGGCTGGCAATCTGTTAGAAAGCCTTTAGAGGCACATGCCACTTTGCTGGGTGTGAATAGGAAATGCAGGTTGGTACCTTAGTTGAATAAAGTGTGACGTTACAAGACATTTTTATCAGGTTTCATTTATTCTCTATGTGTGCTTGACTTGTGTCCATACTTTTAGACTTTCTCATGAAAGCTAACTTAAATCCAGAGCCAGGAACTTTTTTTGCTGGTAGAATCACAGTAGTGAAACTTAATCTACTTGATTTTCACCTGACAGTTCTAAACTATTTCGGTTGCTCTTTGTGGCTTCTTCCCATCTCCCTTTGAGGTAGTTTACAAATAGCTGGATTCTAAGAATAAATACCAAGTAAGCAAAACCTCTTAATGAGATTTGTGAAGCATTACTTAAGCAGGCTGATGATCTTTGTTTTTCCTTTTCCCTCAGATTGATGCATCATGCCTTACGTGGGAAGGACAGCAGTTCCAGGGCAAAGCAGCTATCGTTGAAAAACTCTCTGTAAGTCTTTAATCCTTCCTGAATGTTTTGGGGAAACAATGCTGTAGACTGCTAATGAGCTGCCTCTTAAAAGTGTGATTTAGGTTCTAGAGTGAAGAACCTGGGTTTCCCTCAGTGCAGCATGCCTTGGCTTTTCTGGTATGGGTAGTTACAGCTGTGTTTCAGTGCTGTGAAGTCACTGTTTCTTCTTGCATCAAGTCAGAGGAAAGTATTTTGTAACGTACCAGGCTGAAACTCTCCATCCATGTTTCTAGTTAAACTTGGAGAAGTTTTATCTTTTTGAGATATGCCTTTTCTATAAAAATGAGTGTGCTTATAAGCTGCTGTGGGATCAGAAACTTTTTCTCTTGCAAGATATGTGGAACATGTGCTTTGTAGTTCTGATGTTCTGTTCCAGGCATGGTATGTCAAACAATGTGACAGTTTCAGGCTTTCTATCTTGCACTTTGAGAAGAAAATCTTTGTTGTTTTTCGTGTGTTGTTACACAGCTCTTCCTCCTGTATTTTGGGATCAGTGCTTTCATCCAAGATGTCTTTAACTGAGATGTAAAGGCTGAGATTTACTCTTAGCTTTGAGTTTTAGGTGCCTGCGTTGCTTTTGAGAAGGCCATGCACCTCAGAAATAGTACAGCTTGCAACTCACTTCTAGATGAGGAGTGAGGAGATAATCATGCTATAGAGTTGCTTGTTTACTCAGTGTTCCTTAGGCAGCCAATTAGACACCCAACCAACTAAAATTTGCCTGGCCCTAGCATCTCAGGCTGCTGCCTTGGATCTGGTCCAGTGCAGATCAGCCTCTTTCCCATCTGAGTGTTGTATCATCTTTTCATCTTACCTTTTTGTGGTGGGAGTTGGACTCTGTGCGTTCACGGGCTGGCTGCACAGTCTTGCTTGGTGAATGGAGGCATATTTCTTTTCCCCAAGGAAGTATTTTGATTACATCCATCTGCTTAAAGGAAGGAAGAAATGCAGTAAGATAATTTTGTGCCCTCCCCTACCATGGCTTGTTATGGGACTGCAGCATCTTACCCTGACTCTTGCTCTGTAGCTGTCAGCACTGAGCTATGTGGGTTTTGTTTGCTCCTTTAACCTAATTTGTACACCTGCTCTCTTTGTGCTTCTGGAGTGTCTGAGCATTGTTGGGCACGTTGCTGAAGATTTGGCACTGGAGTTCTTTTGCACTTCTGTGATCCTGTGTTCTTTGGGCCCTAAACACAAAGAGACAGGTTTTTCTCTTAACAGCAAGATCTCTGCTGTATTATAGCAAAGCTACAGCACCTCTCAGCCTGCTCTGTCAGATGATGCTGATACAATTGGGCAAGGTCACAAAGACACTGCTTTGCAAGCACTTGCACCCTTGTTAAAGAGTGGGAGCTGACACACATGCCTTCTGTCTTAACTGGTGCTGGGTGAAGGAATCATCTCAGAGTGCCTGTTTGCTTTGAGCATTTGGGGTAATCCTGTAGTTCCAGGAGCTTTGTGAAGCAGGGAAGAAGCTGGAGCAGGTAGCTCTAATGATGGAGCATTTGCAGACCAGCTTTCTTGTTTGGTGAGATCTCTTCATGTCTCTTGAAGAATCCTGCTAGAGTTTGGTTTTCCTGCATTAACCAAGCCTATCCAAAATCTCTGCCAGTAAGGCCTTGGATTTAGCTTATTGCATGTAGTAGGCTTCTCAGGCTGGGCATCTCATAAAGTAGGAGTAGTGCTTGCAATTGTGGTAGGAAATAGAGGCCCATCAGAGGAAATCAAGGGTGGATGCTGTGTAGCAGGTAGCTTCTCCTGCTTCCTGCTTAGTCTGCAACCAGGGCTGAGTTTAAAGTACCCAAAAAAAACTTTGTTCTTGCAGAATTTCTCGTGACTTAGAAGAAGAATTTCTGCAGTTCTAATAATGAAAGGTCCAGAGCCTTTCTCAGAGGACTCTAAAAGCTTTGCTTGTGGCTTTTCATTCATCAGCCACTTTAACTGCACTCTGCATCTAAAGAAATGCTTCTCTCTGGTACAGGTGGGTATCTGTATGCAACCATCTCTTGAGGTAGTTTCCCTTAATCTTAAATATTGGTGATTTTGGCTGACCTTACTCAGTCCAGTCACTGTATTCGAGGAGGAATAGCTTGTTTGGCTGCCCAACCATTAGGGCCCTTTTCCTCTGGCAGGGTCAGTCAGCTGTCTTTGAACAGGCACCACTGTGCCCGACAGGACTGTTGCAGCACCTGCTTAACACGTAGCTGTTGTGCTGAGGCCAGACTGAGTTTTGTAATACTCTCATTTGTCGAAGGATGGGTGTGTGATGTCCCAGCCTATGCTTGTGCAGGCTGGGCATGCACATTACACATTCAAGTTCAGGATGGTGACCTTGGAAAACGTTCTGCAAACCAGCAGACTCATTTTTCCAGTTCATGGTAGTTTGACATTATTAACCCAGCCAAGAGGAAATACTGGAGGCTTTATTCAGGGCTTTTCTTGAATAGTGTCTCTCTGCAATTGGAGGGCTGCTCTGTATGCTTATTTTGTTCCCCTTTAAGTAAGTTCCCTCCTGGTCCTTCCTCAGTTGTGTTCTCTCTTAGCCAAGGATTTAGTTTCCTGGTGTGCTTCCTGAAACCTTATATTTGTAGGGCCAAGTTGGTAGTTCATGTTATTGCTAGTAGCACTCCAGTCTTCTCTTCTTATTTCTGCCTCCTAGGAAGTCTTTCATGCTCTTTGTGCTCGAGGGTAATGCAGAACTTATCAAAGGGCACATTTGGGTCTGTCTTAAGCCTCTTAAAAATCAGAAGGATTGAGTGAAGTTGGTACATCCTACTTGTTTGAGTGACTGCATGCTGCTTTCCTGTGTTGAGTTTCGGTGTCAGCCACGTTCTTGCCTAGAGCTCCATCAGAACTCTTAAAAACCCAAACTGTTTGCAAGTTTGCTACTTGGAGGCATGGGTGGTTAGCATGTGAATGTGGTCAAACTGAAAAAAAAGGGATCACTCCTCACTGGCTGGTGTTTCTCAGTGTATGTACCTTGCCACTTCTAACTCCACCTTTTTTTCTTCTCAATGTATGTGCTTTTGCTGTTCTGTCTGGCTCATGGCAAAGATGTTGCCAGTTGCTGTTCTGATTCTCTTCAGTTGCTAACATCAAGGGGAAAAAAAAATCAAACAGAAAAGGTAGAGATGAGAAATTTAGGTCTTGAATGCAAGTTCTTGGTCAATCTGTTCCTATTAATAACCACTTTGAGGAAAAGCATGTTTGGATTTATATGGTAAGCCCTGTGTGTTAGATCATATGCTCTTTTATTATTATGCAGAGCAGAGCTTTCTGCTTTCCTCATGTGAACTTCCAGCTTTCAGATGAAGTAAAGCTCTTGAGGTCGTGCAATTAGACAAGAAAAAGATACTAATTAATGACTATAGTGGCATACCTACTTTTAAAGCACCATGACATGAAGTAACTGTTATGATCCACCCAGCTGAGTAGTGTTGAGTTGCAAAAGCTCTCTGTACAGTACTGCTAAAATCTAATGCTTCATAACGTTGGATTTGTGTTTTGTGAGTTCAGTAATGCAATGACTGTTTTTCATTTTTCATTACAGAGCCTTCCCTTCCAAAAAATACAACACAGCATCACAGCACAAGACCACCAACCTACACCTGACAGCTGTATACTCAGTATGGTAGTGGGACAGCTTAAGGTAAACTCTTTCCATTCAGCAGTAACAAATGCTTATATCTTGGGTTTTTTGCGGGATACTAAATCATCCAAGTTCTGAAAACAAAATACTCTCTCCAATGGGGAAGGAATTCTGGTAAGGTTGCACTGGGATGTCATTCTGCTGTTCAAGTTTATCAAGAAAGTACTTCAGAAGGCCTGCAGTAGGTAAAATCACCTGTAATTTGGCAGTCATTGGCTCACATCCAGCAAGATGCTGAGATTCTACTACATTATGCACACAGGTATCACAGGGGCTCAAGAAGCATCAATTATTTTGTTTATTCCGCTGTAAGATTTTAGTTGCACTCAGAAGCATCGCTGCGCTGTTCCTGGACAACAGAAGCATCTCTAATAGAATATTCTATAACGCATTTAGCTGTGGTAGTATACATCTTTTATTATTTGACAACTCTTCAGTAAGACCACGCTTTTTTGCTCTCTTAAAGTGCAAATCCGTAATCCTGGTGTTAACCTTGGTAGGCAGAAGCAATGGGAATGTTCCCTCAGAGTTCACACACTTCTTGCTGAAAGAATTTCTTGTGAAGAAAAGCCAGAATAGTTTTCAGCTGTAGTATGGTTACCCTGCTGTTTAAGTTGCAGTACTGAGCTGCATGAGCTTGCTCAATCTCATCTTCTTTTGAAGAAATGTCTGCAGCCCTGGTGTGTTATGATGCAAGTTAATGATACTACTTAATGAAGGAGGTTGTCTTAGAATCTGCAAAAATACCTTGTATTTAAGAACTTGCACTCAGTGGACAATGTTTTATTTTAAAAGTGTGAAATCACCATAGTTATAATTATCAGAACAAGATTTGCTGGAGTTTGGTCCAGCCAAGCTGTCAAATCAGGACTCCAAAGCCATGCAACCTTTAGAGTTGCTTTGGGCCCTGTTTCTCTTAAAATAGCTATTTAGGCTTCCTTGTCCTATTACCTTTAAATGGTACTTCTGTTAACCTTCAGACTTCAACAGAGTGTACTGTTAAGCAAGTCTAGGACTGAAAGCTTAAATCTGTTTGCCTAGCAAACATTTTTTTGGGCATCCACTTCTAAGCCTAACACAGATGGCTTTGGCTCTCCTTAAAGGTGCTCTTACTTCCTAGCTGTGAGTTGGGTTCCAGCTTTCTTGTTGCTCCCCCCTGCTTGCCCATACTCGATTGAGGAAAGAACTGTGCATGCTCCCAGAAAGCACTGCATTGCAGGGCAGCTGTGAGGTCAGACATGCTGAGCTCACCTGATGTCTGATGCCTGGGTGTGCACAAAACTCAGTGATGTAACCAAGGCTCCTTTTAGGTCAGTGTCTTGGGCCACTCACAGCTGCCTCTGGTTGTGCACTGTCATGTTTTCAAGCTTACTGTGTAATCACCAAGTGGATCAGAGCTGATATGAAAATGTGTGGTTTAATGCTCAGAGATGCTGTTCCTCACTGAGGGAAGTGTTCAGCAAGACCACTGTGATCCTCAACTACAGATGGGCAGATACTCAGCAAGTCTGTAACGTGATGCATATAGTAACCACTCTTGTCAGTACATGAAGCTGTTTGTCATACTTAGCAAATGCTTTTTCTTGTGCATGCATGCTAGCAATCGCTTTAGTACACCTTAGTGCTGTTGTAGATAAGGTGACTGAGCAGCAGGGCTCGGTAAGTAACTTAGAGCTGGTGAGTAACTCAACCTGTCTGTAGTTTGTATTGAACAGGGGATGCTGTAGACAAAAACACAGAGCTGCTCACTTACCTTTACTGAAAAGTTACCTTAATGGTGTGGCTGTTCTGCACCAGAGAAAAGACATTAAGGACGGTTAGTACCTGGATTTGAAGGGAAAAAAAACATCTCTTCAGTTTTCCTGTTCACACAACTCAACCAAATCCTTGAAAGCTCAATGCATACACTTTTGAATTCTCTATTTGCAAAACCTGCGTTGTTTTATGTAGTGAAGGATCTTGCAGGAAAGTAACTGGGCTGAAGGACCTGCAGCATGCTTTTTCTGAGCGGTCCTTCTTGGTGTGATGCTTTGGTGGGTTTTCAGAGGCCACAGCTGATTGAATGGCTAATCTGAGAAGTTCAGTGAAGACTCACTGCAAGGGAGCTGGGCACGTCAGCTTAAGCCATTGTATTTTCATCTTGTTTGGTTTTAGGGGGAAAAACTTCAAAATGAATGAAAAGTAAAACCTTGTTCTTCCTTCATACATTGTGGAGTGAGCTGCTACCAAATTGTTATAAAGCCTTGGCTCTCCTAGCAAGAATGGTTCTGAAGAATTAATCAGGCCAAAGTCCACTTGTCAAACTCTGCTTCCTTTACCACAGCATTATGCCTTGAGAAAACGTGCATTATTATGCTTTAAATCTCTTGGCCTTTCACTTTGGAGTGGGGTTTAACTGTGGTCAGTTGCAACCACAACTGCACCGTGTCAGTCAGGCTTGAGTCTGCCTCTGTGCTGCTCCAGTCTGCAGCCTTGCATGCTGATATTGGTATGACCTGTAAACATAGAATATCTTCTGGAGCAGTGTGAACTGAAGGGGACTGGACACAACAGCTTCTAGGAGAAGACATTAGAGTGTGACAGAGTGCATCTGAGTGGGGTGAATGATGCCTGTAGTGAGGGTCAGACTCTGGCAGAAAAAACACAGAGCTTTTATCAGAAAGCATATTATCAAGTGAGCATGCAAGATTCTCTCTAGTTGATGCTGAGATGGGCAGTAATGTTTTCAAACCTGTGGATGGGTAATAAATGTGCCTCCACCTATTTCAGTTCTGCTCTCATAGCTTTTTATTGCTGTTCATTACGCATGCTTGCTTTAACTATTAAGATTGAGCATCAGTTTAAGCCTTCAGGAGTAAGTTTCTTTTGTTGTGATGCTAGTTCTGTGTTCCTCCAGCATGTTACCCAGTATTTCCAGTGTGCTTCACCTAGTAATATATTTCTCCTGTCATGCTTAGGCAGATGATGACCAGGTTCTAGGCTTCCAACAAACGTTTTTGTTGAAAAATATTCAAGGTGCCTGGGTGTGCACCAATGAAGTCTTCAGGCTAGCCCTCCACAACGTGTAACCTCTGCCTTACCTCTGCTCCCTGCAGTCCTCACTGTCCTGGTTGAGTAAGGAGTGCCTTCTTCTGGCTCTCTGTCAGCTGAGCTCGTGGTGGCTGAGAAGCATGGCTGTGGCTTGCACATTCTCAGAGCAGTGTGGAAGATCTGCAGCTCTGAGTGTGAATTTTGAAGTGTTACGGAATTAATGTGAATAACTAACTATTATGCAGTGCCCCTTTTTCTCGAAAGGGAAAGGAAATTGGTAACCCAAATCACTGGATGGTTTTGCAGTGCATGTTGGCTACTTCAAAGCATTGCTGGAAGCCTGTTAAATGAGGTCTAACATCTGAAAAAATCTGTTCTCTAGTTCCTAGTCTCTCCTTTGAAACAAAGGTAGCTGCAAGTATGCACTTCAGTTAATACTTTCTGTGGGGTGCTGATGAAAGGAGACTAAAATTCTTTCTTTCCAGATGAGATTTTTTATTTATTTATTCTTTTTTTTGGACTAGTGAAAATATTCTTTGGCAGCTGCACTTGAATGACAAGGTAGTGTAGCATCTAACACTGTGATGTGACTCAGGATTTCCTGCAGTTTGCAAGCTTCAAGATCAGCAGGGATGTAGGAACTACTGGAAGAGGTCGAAAAGCTGCCAAGATCAACAGAGAGTTTGAGCCTGGAGAGGAGGTGACTGAGAGCTGTGTACCTGCTGTGTAGATGTAAGGTAGTGTGGTACTTCTGCTGATGACTGGAAGTTCAGTATCTCCACTGACCTGAAGCAAACTCTTGGTGGTGCCAGGCAATGTAACAAAGGACAGTGATTGCAAACCAAAGCTTGGGAGGTTCAGACTTGACACAAGGGGCAACATACCAGAAGGATTAGAACCCTGAGAAATGTTGCCTGGACACATTGTGAAATGCTCGTGCATGGAGGGTGCTGCTGGACGAAGCTGGGTCTGGTGCAGCGCTGCTGGTTGTCCTGCTGCAAGTCTGAGGCTGCACTGGAAATCAGAGGATCCTTCCAGTCTGATTCTCTGACATACTCAAGGATGTCATTAAAGTGTTGAAGCTATAGGGAATAAAATAATAGGAAAAACAAAACCCACGTATTTAAAGTGTGTGCTCACATCTGAAATGCAAATTTTGAGTAGGACACAGCTGAATTTGGAGGGGAAAGTAAGGATAAAATGTTTCAGTGAGGTTACTTGAGCTGTGATTCAGATCTCACATAAGTTGGGCTTGGATTAGTGTGTGCCTTGTGGAGCATCTCAAGTATCTTGGCTGTGGGTCTTGGCTATTAACAGCACGTATTCAGAATTTTAAGAACAGACTGACTATAAATCATTTCATTTAATCTGGATGTAGTTGCAGGTTTTCCTTGTTCTTAGAGAATATTGCTCCCCTAGTCTATGAAGACATGACATTTAAATGAATAAAGAAAACAACAGTATGTGACCTTATTGTGGGAATTAGCAACGTGCAGAAGAGCAGCTGTTTAAGGAAGAACTCTTTATCTTTTTTCACATGTCCAGTCCTGAATTACATAGAATAATGTAGAAGAATATGAAGAACTTCCCCTCAAGCCAAAGTGCTGCCAGCTGGGGTGTAGCTGTGCTTACCACATGTGGAGAAAACCTGCTGTACACCAGGCTGTTAGTGTTCTGTTTTTGTAGAGGGACACTCATGTCAGTAATGAATAAGCTCAGATTTGGTGAGCACTACGTCAGCATCTTCTGGTAGGTGCCTTGGTGACTTCAGAGGAGACCAGAGGGCAACTGCGAGTATGCAAAATGCTTACTAATAGCTGTAATTAATGCTTGGTCAAGCTGGTAAGATTCTGCCTGGTGGTTTAAATGAAGCCATTAGAGGGGAGCTGAAATGAACCTGAACTCGATTCTGGCTTGGTCAAAAAAGGCTACATTAATAAAGTGCTATCAAATACAAGGTTGCATTTCAAACTTTGAAGTGCTCCACTTTCTTAAAGATTCCAGCATGTGCAGTGTAAAATGAGTAGCAAGGAGTAGCAAGACCTTACTGGGATTTAAGCATCATGTCTGGTACCTGGGAAAAGCCAGAGATGACGCTGCACTCCCAGACTTCAGCACACGGGGCGCCTCCTCTGGATGGACATGCAAGCATCTTTCTAGATAGACATAATGATGGTAATTCCCCTGAAATAATTGCTGTGACTGCTGTCATATATGCTAATGAACGAGGTGGACAGCCAGTCTAATTCAGCACAATTGCTGTGTTTGCTTTGTGTTAATTACTGTGGAGCCTCTGCCCAGTGTGAAAGAAGGCTTATATCAGCACGACAGAAAGCTGCTCAGTTCATCCTGCTGTTGAACTGTGGCTTTATTAGCACTTGTCTTGATGATTTTTCTTTCATTATTTCAGCTTGGACTCACTGATACTTCTGCTGCCTGTAGGGCACCAGATTCCTCACTCACTTTGTGATTTTTCTGGTAGTAGTTTATCATCCCCATCTCCCACTTGATCACTTTTTTTCTTTCTTTTTTTTTTTTTTGCAAGCTAGGCTCATTCTCAGTTTACTTTCTTCAGTAGCAAGCTTGGTAGCTTACCCTTCCCTGGCCTTCCCTTATTCTACCTTTTCTCTTTTTTTTAACGTAACAAATGCATGCAGGATTTGGTATGTGGGTGCTCTGTGTGCTTGTGTTTGCATAATTATGGGCTGTGGTCTCTGTTCCTTTCCTAATAACTGCTGACACTTTTGTCGTGATAGCTGGTGAGCTCTGAGCTGCTGTTTCCAAGCAGTTACAGAATCATAGCATATTCTGAGCTGGAAGAGACACTGAAGGATCAAATGTGACTCCTGGCTCAACATAGGATCACCTGAAAACCAATTTCGGTTTGTCACTCACTTTCCGAGGCATAGCAGCTAATCTAGCACCCTTTTTGGTTTTGTTCCCTGGATGTACTTGAAAATACATCCCACATGGATATATTTCCTGACACTGCATATCACGTACTATTTTTTTGCTAGTTGTTGCTATGAAATCCCTGCAGTTGGTTTTAGATTTGAATTTTCTTACTGTGCTTCAGTCCCACACTCCTATCCTATCCTATCCACACTGATGCTATGAGTGCTGTGGCAGGCTTCCTGCTCTGTGATGTGGTTGCTGTTCTTAGCAAGCTGCTCCTCAGAGTTGTCTTTATTCCTCAGTCAGTTTTTCATCTACATACGTTTTACATTTTTAAAAAGATGTTTATAGACACCAGTTCTCTTTCTTTAGTCTTTTCATTTGCTTTTCTTGCTAGACAGCTAGACCACTGAGAGTCAACATTCAGCATTTTGACAGTTTGTTTCATGTGCTCCTCTGGCTGCTGCTTTTCCAATACTTTCTTTTCATGCTTTTTCCCCCTTCTCATTCTGGAAGCTTAAAATCCTCCAAAAAGGCTGACTTGAATACAGCATGGTCAGTGTAAGGGAATTGTTTTGTTACTAGATCCTATGGATTGTTCAGACTAAATCCTGTAGTGATTTCCACTTCATACTGAGGCTGTATAGTGTCTCTGAGACTGGTAAGCATTCGATTGGAGAACTAGCCTCCCTATAGTCCTATTCAATTCAGTACTGTTGATACTCCTACTTCTGTAGTCCCTCATTCCTGTAAGCACAGAGCTGAATTGGCAAAGGCAGAAGGTAAGGCACCATTGGAAAGATTCTCTGTGCTTTTCAACACCTCCTTGCAGCTACAGCTACCATTTCAGAGTTGGTCCTGGAAATGGCAGCAGGAAGCATTGTATTGCTGGGCAGCTGTACCTGCTCTGGGAAACGTTTCAAAAGCTGAGATTGTTACACAGAGAATTCAGGCAGCACTGTTGCTGTTGGCTTCTAGAGAAAATCTCTTCTGAGGTCCGATCCAAACTACAGCAGTTACAACCTAATTTGAAAACCTGTCTTCTTATACTTGGTTCCTTGGGCAAGGCCCAAAGAAAGTCTGTGGTTCCACATGGTGAGGCAGGCATGCTTCCACTGGTGTTGTGAAGTTTCTGGAATGAGGTGTCTGTAATTATTCCAGAAAACTCTAAAGCATCGCAGGATTTCTGTCGTTGGGCCCTAAGTTTGTGTTTGCAAGCAACTTGGAAAGGGACCCCTGGTTGTGTGAGTGTCTCGAGGTATTAGTTACCTTACAGCATGCAGTGTCACTGTTAGCACTAGCTTTTTATGTTTTCTTACTGTGTTGGAATGCATTTCTCAAGACAGAGCTTTTTGAACACTTTCCCTTTCTTTCTGCAGGCTGATGAAGATCCTATCATGGGATTCCACCAGATATTTCTATTAAAGAACATCAACGATGCCTGGGTTTGCACCAATGACATGTTCAGGCTAGCATTGCACAACTTTGGCTGAGCTGGCGACCCCGAGGCACCTGTTCTTCTTTTTTTTCTCCTCTCCTCTTACTGATACTATTCACACTCACAGAACATTCCAAATATCATACACAAACCTGCAGCACTGCAGAGCGTGAGCAAGCAAGAGCTGTGACCTGCCCTTCTGCTGAGTTTACATTGTCACTAGATGAGTTCCTTGTGCATGATGTTTGGAAGTTAGTTAGCTGCATTTGACAAGAGAAATTTGTGTTGTACCAGCATGCCTCGGAAAGAATTTAAAATGCAAAAGGTTGTTGTTTATGTACTGACAAGATGCTCTATAACCCAAAGAATTGAAAGAACAGCAGCCTGTACAGCCCAGATACCAATTTGTTCAGACGTTTCAATGCTACATTACACAATAAAAACATACGATTTTTTCTTAACAGTTTAAATAGTTTTAATGAGTTGGATATGAGTTTGGTTTGGGTGCTTGTCTGCCGGGGGGGAAATGTTTGTGAACCTGGATCTCAAACTGAAAAAGTGCTTGATGGTTTTCCCAGCAAAGCCTAGTAAAACAGCATCTTCCTTCTCGGCAGCTCTTAGAAGCTTCCAGCTCAACTTTTAACACTCCTTGATAAGTTAGATCTCAGCCAGATTATTTTCCACTGCAAAACCTTGAAATAATTTGCAAGGCTGACAGCTGTGTAGCATGAAGTTAATCTTTGTGCTGCCTCTTGTGTTAACTCTCAAAGCTAAAGAAGCTGGCTGTGTTTTCTTCACACGGGATGATACCCACCTCCAGCTCAGAGGTTCCTGGAAAGAAGGGATGCCATTCAGAGGGATCTCAGCAGCCTTGAAAAGTGGGCCTGGGTGAACCTAATGAGGTTCAACACAGCAAAGTGCAAGGTTCTGCACTTGGGCCGGAGGAATCCCAGGCATCCATGCAGACTGGAAGGAGCTCCTTGAGAGCAGCCCTGCGGAGAAGGACCTGGGGATCCTGATGAATGAAAAGCTTAACATGAGCCAGCAGAAAGCAAATGGAATCCTGGGCTCCATCAGCAGAGGGGTGGCCAGCAGGGACAGGGAGGCGATTGTCCCTCTCTACTCTGCCCTTGTGAGGCCCCATCTGCAGCACTGTGTGCAGGTCTGGAGCCCCCAGTGCAAGAAAGACAGGGAGCTGTTGGAGAGAATCCAGAGGAGGGCAAAAAGATTATCAGGGGGCTGGAGCACCTCCTGTACAAAGACAGGCTGAGGGAGCTGGGCTTGTTCAGCCTGGAGAAGAGAAGGGTGGTGGGAAAATTAGGGGGTGATCTAATTGCAGCCTTTTAATACCTAAAGGGAGCCTACAGACAGAAGGGGAATCAACTCTTTGAAAGGGCGGATAACAGAAGAACAAGGGGAAATGGTTTGAAGTTGAGGGAGGGAAGATTGAGGTTGGATGTCAGGGGGAAGTTCTTTGCTATGAGAGTGGTGAGGTGCTGGAACAGCTGCCCAGAGAGGCTGTGATGCCCCGTCCATCCCTGGAGGTGTTCAAGGCCAGGTTGGATGGGGCCCTGGGCAGCCTGGGCTGCTGTGAAATGTGGAGGTTGGTGGCCCTGCATGTGGCAGGGGGTTGGAGCTTCGTGATCCTCAAGGTCCCTTCCAACCCTGGCCATTCTGTGACTCAGGTCCATCCCATAGTGCCCTTCAGTTTGTACCCGGCTCTGAAGACCTGGCTGGATGCGCTGCGTTTCAGTTCTAACGTTCCATACACAACCAGAGCTGGCTGATAGTATTACAGCGTGGTTGGCTGTCGTGTCTCTGTCCCCCTGGAGGTGGCGGCATTTCCCTCCTGGAGGAATTGAATAAATTGATCCTTCCAGCATCTGAGATGGCACACGTGAGCAGAATCACAGCTCCTTTACCTGCAGACCTCGCTAAGCCATCCGACCAACATTTCCGAGGGCTTCATTAAGGCTGGAAAACATCTCTCAGATCCCCACCCCTACCGTGCCCACGTCCTTCAGTGCCGCATCCCCACGGCTCTGGGACACCTCCATGGATGGGGACTCCCCACCTCCATGGCCTCACCGCTCTGCGGGAGAAGCAATCGCTCCTAACGCCCAACGCGAGCTCGGCGTGAGGCTGGAGCGGAGGATATCGCACAGACCCGGCCTCGGAGCGGTTCTGCCCTCACAGAAGCTGCCCGGCCGGGGCGGTGCCGATGTTTTTCGCCCCGCCCTCCTCGCGCCCGGAACCCGTTGAACCGGCGGATGTTTCCCTTCAGAGCGTCTCCAACAGCGGACCGGAGGCGGAAGCGTGGGCGGCGGGTCGGGACGGTGCGGCGGGGCGGGCGGGAAGCGGGCCGGGCCCTATGGCCTCCTCCAACAGCATCGACATCGAGGACGCCACGCAGCACCTGCGGGATATCCTCAAGCTGGACCGGCCGGGAGGTGAGAGGCGGCGCGGGGCCCGGCTGTGGGCTCGGCCCGGGCGGGGTGAGCGCGGCCCGAGGCCCCGCGGGTGGGGCTCCGCTCGGCCCGTGTTCTCGTAGCCCGGGGCTGGGTTGGGGGTACGGAGCTGAAGTAGGCGGTGCCGGGGCTGCGCCTCAGTGCTGTGCTGAGAGCTGGGCCCAAAGCTGCGAGAAAGACGGGGAGGCTCTGGAGCGTGTCCAGAAAAGGGAGCGGAGCTGTGAGGGGTCTGAGTGCAGCCCTGTGGGAGCGGCTGAGGGAACGGCGGGGTGCAGTGTGGAGAAGGGGAGCTCGTAGAGCTGCAGCCCTGACAGGAGGATGTGGGGAGGGGTTCAGCCTCTGCCTCTGGGTAACAGCGAGAGGGGGAGTGATGGCCTCGTGTCCGGGTCGGATGTTGGGATTAACTCATTTTGTGACACAGCTGCCTAGGGAGGTGAGGGAGTCCCCGTCCCTGGAGGTGTCCCAGAGTTGTGGGGATGTGGCACTGAGGGATGCAGGCAGTGGGCACAGTGGAGCTGGGGATCTGAGAGCTCTTTTTCAACCTCGATGATCCTGTGACTGAGCTCCAGAGCGGCCACCACTCATGCTGCCTTTGCGCAGCCGCAAAGCCCAGAGGTTGGTGTGGGGTGAGGTGGGACTGTGATAGAGCAAATCTACAGAAAGGCAGCTTCGTAGAACAGCTGGCTTGGAAGGGACCTGAAAGCTTCCCGTAGCCCAGGTGTCCAAAACCCCATCCACGGCCCTGAGCACCACCAGCAATGGAGCACCCACAGCAGCAGCAGTACCAGGGTCTCACCTCTCTCTGAATAAATAACTTGTTCCTAACATCTAACCTACATTTTTCCTCTTTTAGTTTGAAACCATTCATTCTCCCTTGTCCTGCAACTATCAGACTATGTAAGAAGTCACTTCTGTCTTTTTTTATGAATTCCTTTTACATGCAGGAAGGATGCATTGAAGTCTCCCCAGAGCCTTCTCCAGTATGAACAAGCACAGCTTCCTTTCCCCGTATTCATAGGAGAGGTGCTGCAGCCCTATGAGAGTCTTCATGGTCTCTGCTCCTGCTCCAGCAGCTCCACATCCTTCTTGAGCTGTGCTGGGGGCCCCAGGCTTGGACACAGTAATCCACATGGGACCTCATGAGGGCAGAGCAAAGGCAAACAATCTCCCCGTCATCCAGTTTCATTATTAGCCGTAGAAAGCTTCCAATTGTTTGAAGTTTCTCTTGTTGCTGGAACACGTAGGTGATCCAAAATTGTATTTCTTATACTATAAAAAAATACATTTTTCCTTTCCAAAAGCTCTCTGCTCCAAAAGGAGAACTCAGTGTGGTGATGGGGAACTTGCTATCACTTCCTTTACTTCCACTTTCTGGTTCTTTTTGAGTTTCACTTACACATTTTGATGTCATGTGGAGTGTAGCTGCTTTCCAAGGCTGTTACCACAATGAAGTTTTGCCATGCTAGCTGTAGGCAGCTCTGAGCAGTCTCTTCTGACACACATTTCTCCCAGTTTTGGTGCTGACAATTGTTTTTGTTCACGTACCTGCTGAACACCGAGTCTCTTCCCTTTTCTTGTGCCTTCAGGGTTGTGCTGGCCTGGCTCCCACTTAGGGCAGGGCAAAGGGCTAAGCACATTCCTCAGCTTCAGTGTCCCACTGTGGTGCCCATCAGCCTCTGGGGAGTGTTTCCTTCTTCCCTTTCTCCAGAGCTGATGTCACCACTCTGCTGTCCATAAACACTGAAGTGAGCCGTCCCTGTTGCTGCAAATAGAGCAGAACATGTATCATCTTTCTCTGTTGGCCTGGATGCTTTTCCGTAGTGATTACTTTCTTGCTTTTGGCTGCAAAAGATAAACTGCAGCTGATGAAAGCTTATTGCACCTGCCAGTGTGCTGTAACAGTCTTCATCTGCAACAGGAAGCACAGCATGGGTGTGCTGGCTTGTTACAGAGCTGTGTTCTGTGACCTCATGCTGCGTGGCTGTGCTGCTGCCCTATTCACAGGACAGGTAAACTGAGATGTGCCCAGGCATCTCAATGCTGGGATGCCCCGGAGCTGCATGGGCTTGCTGTATCCATAGCATAGTTGTTGATTTATTGACCTTGTTCTTCATCAGCAGGCAAGTTTTAAATATTCTTCTAGCAAGTAATAGCTGCAGTTATGTCTGTAGGCATCAGTGCTCGTGCTGATGCATTAACGCCGTTCAGGCTGTTTGATAGTAGGAAGCTTGCCTTGCTTTCCAGGGAGCCACCTCCTGCCCCTGCTTTAGGTGTGTGATGTGTGGCAGCAGCAGTGGGGCTCAGCTGCTGTCTCACAGGAGCTTTGCAGCACTCGTTACCTGGCAACAGCACGTGGGATTTCAGTCTTTCAGCATGAATATTTCCAGGACAGGTGGCTTTGACTTCTGTGCAATTGCATGTAGGCACTGGTAGAGTGAGCTTGCTCTCCTGTGAGGATGGTCAGCTATTTAGGGGACATGGAGGCCGCCAGGCAGCCTGCCCTTGGCCAAAGGTATGAAGGCAGGACACATGCACCCCTGAAAGCAGAGGTGATGCTCTGAATAAGTGGTTGCTTTGTCCTAAACTCGAGTGCTGTGAGCTTCCATGTGCTGAGTAAACCAAGGGACAGCTGTGGGAATCCCATGGGCACAGCTGCGTGGTTTTGTAGCTCAGTTGCTTGAACAGCTCTGGCCTTTGAGGTCACATCTTAGAGAATGGTTTGGGAAAGCATTACTGCCAGCCAAGCCCAAGTGCTGTATGTGCTGCTGTATGTACTTCTGGACTGCAGAGATCTCTGAAGAGTGAAAACGCACTGGATTTTGAAATAACATATCAAGAACCCTTTGGCATGGAACGTAAATATGAGATTCAGTAAATCTGAATTGTTGTCTTAGCCTTTCTGATCCAAGAACGTTACTTCCTTGAACCTCATAAACTCCTCATTCCCGTTTATTGGTCTCTGGTCTGCTGGGATTCCTCACGTAAGACAAGCA